CACCCCCTTTTCCACTTACAGAGCTAGGTTATTTTTCTTTTAAATAAATATTAATGTATTTTAATGGTATCTATCTACCAGTAGCTGCCTCATTTCCCACCCTCGGCTTATATTCGGGTCAATACTTTTTCCCAGTTTTTTTGGCTAAAATTAGGTACCTCGGCTTATATTCGGGACGGCTTATACTCGAGTATATACGGTATTCTCTTTCTCTCTCTATCTATATCTATATATCATAAAGTTAGTTTGTACAAAGGTGAGACACTTTGGGCTTGAAATCCTATAAAAAAGTAAAATAAATAAATAGCTGATTTAAGATATGAATATGTTTTTCAGAGGAATTATATAAGAAGTGCTTTTAAGTATGTAATAAAGTGTCTAGTAGTCAAAGAATAACTAGGCCTACCACATGCAATGCAACAAGAAACTTGTACAACCTTTCATGTCTGTCTATTGACTTCATGTTTACAACCTTTGTACGTGTTGCTTGTTAGGAGATTCATTCAAATCTCAAGTGTCAAGATTTTATGCATGGTTGACATTAAAGTAGAATAATATAACACATTATAGCTAAACTCCAGTCATAAAAAAAACAACTGTCTATCAAAAGGGTCCTCTGCACCTACAGAATCAATGTTACAATCTCACAACTTGAGGGTTGGCAATAAGACCTGTTGGCTTCACAGAGAGCAGTTGCAGCACATTATGGCCACTAGATGGAACCAAGGAGCATAGGAATCTCCTACACTCCTTGACTCCTGCTAGTGGCCATAATGCATTGTGAACCTCGTTTGCATAGGTGTTCACTCTTATAACTCTTCTTCACAAATCTCCAGCTTACTTTTCATTCCACATTTACACATGAATTCCATGCATAGGCTTCCTACATACTTAAGGCAGTAGTGTTCAGCCCAATTCCAGACAGAGCCATCCCACAAAGAAACCGGAATACACAGTAGGAGAGGTAGTTTGGAGAAAAGGTAGTGCAGATCCCACAGACAGCCATTTGTAAGTATGACCAAATTAGCAATGCCCTTCGACCGTACCTAGGAAAAATTGAAACGTGTCATAGTGATTTTCTGGTCATGGCATGCATATAATGACATCTAAGATTATTAGAGTAGGACCGTATTAAAGTGTCACCTACTTGTCTGACAGGCCTCCCAGGATAATGGCTCCCACAAGCACACCTGCCATGTACAAGGACTGAGCCAGCTGTCTTTTGTGTTTGGTGCTGCACACCAAATCCCACTATAAAATAAAATATTGGTAACGTAAATGAAACTCTGAAATGCTTACGGATCTCTTACTTTACCTGACTAAATCATTTACAAATGTGTTTGTTGTCTTAATGCATAGTTCAGATGCAGTGCATGTCTGTAGGGATATCGATGCTAAGCCATGCCAGTCAGGGCCAGCCTTTGGGGAGTGTGAGCTGTGTAGTCGCACATTGTGCCATGGCAACAGGGGCCGGATTCCCCACAAGGCCACTGAGGCCATGGCCTCGGAGCGTCAGGGTGTAGACAGGCGGGAAAGCCTGCAGCTTCTCTTCGAATCCCAGCTGCCCTCCCCTGTATGGGGAGAGGCAATGGGGATCCAAGGGGAAATGGAGTGCTGAAGCTGGCAAGGGGGGCGGAGGAGGGAGCGATGTTATCAGGATGGATGAGCCGGGAGAAGATTGCAGAGCCACCGGCTGTCAAATCTAGGATGGCTGAGCATTTCTTTGCGTGGACGAGTGGCTCCCATCACTTTCAGGATGGCTGAGCGGAGGATTAGTAAGTACATGCAATATTTAATGATCCTCTGTGTGCAGCACAAACACTGGAGTGTAAACATCTGGGGACACATAGTACGATGTGTCCCCAGTTATGAATGAACAGGAAGTGCTTTACATAACTTTCCTGTTCGTTCATGAGTTTCTGAATGGGTAGAAGCAGCTCAGTACAGAGGCTTCTATCCATTCATAACTGGTTGATTTTAAATATTTACTATCTCCAGTTTGTGAATGAATGGGAAGTCTCTGTACTGAGTTGCCGCTACCCATTCCATACCATTCAGTGCTGAGGCTCCAGAAAAAGAGATTGAGGACTCTCTGTCTCAACAGTAGAAAAATAAAAATTAAAAATAATTTTAAAAAAACACAGCACACACACACACACACACACACACACACACACAAACAAATACACATATTATACACGTCCAACAGTGTGCACCATTTAACATGTAGTCTAGCTTTGGGTTCTGTTTTTTGTTTTTACTTTTCTAGATGCACTTACTTGAACAAAGGGTCTGCATGACATCCTGACACATTAACATTTATTGCTTACCATTTGTTTGCCTACTGCTGTAATCCAGGGGGATTGGGCCATCTTTGTCCCGGTATCATCCAGGGTCAGAATCTACTTCCTGGACTGCGATGGCAGCTCAGAAATGACACAGCCATGTTCATCCTGGTGCCTGTGCAATTACTGGCGGTGTTTACAAATGTGTGACACAGATCAACCACCCCACTCCAGCCTCTCTCCTTGTGACTTGCTACAAATTTACAATGTTGCAGTCTTTTAAAAGGAGAGAGGAACAGTAGACTGATGACATCATCTTAGCCTAGGCAATGTCATTTGGCTAAAGCTGCTGTGCTGCTTTTTAAGAGCTCATGCTCTTGGGAGTAATAAAATACTGATATCTATACAGGATCATGCTGTAATGTTTGCATGTGTTTAAATGCGTATACATGTAAATCATGCCGAAATACTAACACTGGACGCAGAATTTTCTACTTTGATTTTACGCAACTGAATTCAGCGCAAGATTACTGAGCACAATGTAGCTGTGGGCATGAACCCATAATTTTGCTGTGTTCAGATCCTTAAAAAACCTATGCGTTGTATGAATCTGAACGCAGTTTTTTTTATACGCCTGTGTGCATGAGCCCTAAAGCAGACCTAATGTCTAATGAAATGACATTTTGTTTCTAAAGCACTGCGTATCAATTGCCACCATTTATGTTTTTACATTATTTGTCATTCTTTTTTGCATCTCATTGCTGCTGGCAAAGGCCAGCAGCTCGGAGCCTTTTCAAGGCCTTTTAGCCACTTCCTGTCTGCATGTACTCACTCCAATGTAGACTGCACAGCATGGCGAGATAACAGTGGACTGTGCTAATGCAATATGGGTCAGCACCACCACTTGTAAGCTTAACCAGGATGCATATGAGAGGGTGACAATGCAGGTGCACAGTTGGGAAACAGTTGTCACCCCATCACAGATAAAGGAAGGCCCAAAGCGAAAAAAAAAAGTGGAGGGCATACATGACTAGGTGTATAGGGGAGACAAGCTAAAAAGGGGTTAACAAGGGTTCGGTCTTTGGACAAGGTCACTTACCTGATTGGACAGGTCAAAAGGTTAGGTGGAGCTTGAACGGTGGTCTGAGTAGGAGGGTCTTGTCTTCTCATACAGCAGTTGGAGATTGTCTGACGTGGAGTGAAGTTCCCTCCCACCTGCCCAATTTTTTGTGGTTAGTCTATGGGTAGGTATGCGGTTGGGGTCTTTGGAGGCCACCAAATAATAGGTGCTGGTGGATAAGGTTTGGGGACCTGTCTTTGTATGGGTCCTCTATTCAAGGTGTAAGATGGTCAACCCTATTGGATATTTGGAGTGTATGCGGTCAGTTGGTGGTTGTCCTCGAGGCGATGTGTTGTGGCTGGGGCCTAACATGTTGTAGTACTGTCGCAGGGAACGGATCAAGAAAAGGTGTGGCCTTCAAAGACCTGCAACTTTGTTTATGTAATTCTGATGGATGTTGAAATGGTTTATATATAGTTATGTTTTATATCAAATTATTTAATAAAAGGGTTGCTAAGGCCATTTTATGCCATTTTGGAGTGCGTTCTGTTTATTCCTTACAGGGACGAGTGGTGGGTGGTCTTGGCGGCTCGTATTAGGAGAAAGAATGGGGACATCTATGCTACCTCAGTCATGCCTGAATAAGAAGCTTCATGCTACAATCATCATGGATAATCTTAATGAAAACTGCAGATGTAAAAGTATTTTGAAATTATTATTATTACTGCTTATATGAGATTTTAGTGATTGGGGTTATTTTTTATTGATTAAAGATGACTATTTTACAAAAAATCATACTGCTGCTGTATATTGTGAACTGTCAGTGATGTATTTACGCAGCTTTCTACTGTTTCAAAGAAAAAAGCGTTATTTTTGTAAAAGCTAGTTACCTGGCTGTCATGCTAACTGACTTTGTCTTCATATCATGACTTTACTGATCTGTATAATTAATTAAGGTCAGTGACCGAGACATTTTTAAGGCTGTTGTGGGCATCACAGGAAAGCAACCAGCATTTTTAAAATGGGGTAAGATTTTTTTTTCTCCCAACTAGTTCACTTTAAGCTATGATAAACTTTGGCACCATGTCTAGTGGATCTCTCTATTCTATACAATAGTAAGACTCTGTAGCCACAACTGTTTACCAGACCTTGCTAAGCATTAACAAGCTGTTAATTATGCTTTAACGATATGGAAACATTAACTGGTTGTGTTTATTTTCTGTAAGGGTTTAATATCACTCTGCTGCAGATACGGCATGGAGGATGTCAATGTACAAGACTGCATAGGTCACAGAAACTGCTATGCACACAAAGTGATTTGCCTTGCCAGCAGAGTTAAAGAATAGCCCCAGCCAAAAGGTTGTTTTTTTAATTTTTAGTTTTGGAGAAAGTGGGAAGGATTTCTGAGCAATGGAAAATGTAATATGCTCTGATGAGTGAAATATCACCCTATTTCATACATTCAACTACGTTTATGATTAGAGAAACCCAAATGATGGTTAATACCTGTTGTCAGGACCAGCTGTGGACGCACGCTGTCAGAACAAATAGTGACGAGTTGTTTCACCTTTAGCAGCCACCGTTCCCATAAGGCAAGCATGCCTACCGGTACTTGGATGCCCCCAGGACTTAAACTATTTGATCTGATCAGGTGATGCCACAGGCTGGCCCCCAGGAACAAGGAGAAGTACTGACTGATGTCAAGGTGCGAGACAAAACAGAAAGCAAAATACAAGACCGGAACTAATACAAGATAAGTACAGGATACAAGAAACAAGACAGGTATAAGGAAAAAGATCTGAGGCAAGACTAGGTTTCACGGTGAAGGCAGGACTGGGATTGAGGATCAGGGTACAGGCTTGTATAGACAGCGCAAAGACAAGACAAGGCTGGAACTATCACAAGCCCAGAGCTCTGGGCTTGTGATGCTTAAATAGAGCACAACTAACCACCGCCCAGGCTGTGAGGGGCGTGTAGCCAAGCTGATTAGCCTGATCAGCCCGCAGCTGACTGAACTGTGATAGGTGTAGTTACAAGAGGCAACCACTAGATGAAGCTGAGTGGTTGCAACAGGAATAGGAACATGCTCCTAACACCTGTATCCAAACCCAAGGAAGCTGTCAGTGCCAACCCAATCAGCTGCAACCAGGGCATTCCTCCCCCTACAGCTGCATGTAAACAAAGGGGCGGGTGCTAGTAACAGCATAGACCTTATATGACCTCCTGCAATGTTATGGGTTGCCATCTTGTTTGATTCATAAGTTCTAGTTGCAATAATCAAGGAAAGTAAGGCCCTTTTAGAGGACATGCTCACGTCGTGGTGCTAAAAATGTTCCCTCATGATATTCTCATTGAGAGGATAATAATGCCCATATGCCAACTGCTAAACAAATTGTCACGCAAGGCTGATGAAGGGGCCCTGTGAGGCACTGAAATGTTGCGCATTTGTCATATGATTCTTTTGATGTTTAAATATAGCTCTGTACTTTGCTTTCAGATCCAAGGGGAACTAGCTAAATATACTTTTAAAAATCGTGCAATGTCAATTGACAGTGGCTACAGCACCCTAGCTACTATGGTCATTTGTAGTAAGGTGTGCAGCGACAACACTTATAGAAAGTTTTAAGGCAACGATTGTAAAGTAGATTTTCACCACCTTCAATGAGCTAGAGGTTTTTTTCTTAGAGAACACTGCAAAATCCTAATACAGGATATAATTCAGGACTTGTGTGTCAGGGTTGACCCTACTTCTTATTAGGTTCTGCATACTAAGATATTGTTAGATATTTCCATAATTATGTCCATCCCCTTTCAATTGTGTATTCCTTTCAGCAGCTTATATACTATAAAATAAAACCCTGAAAGAAAAATATTTGCACATGTGCTTTTTTTTTTTACTGGAGACTACGCTCTTTCAGACTTAACCTGCTAGTAATCGCAGTGTGTACAGAGAGAAAAAACACTCCCACCGGTGATCAAATTCCAGTCAAATAGAAAGAAACTACAAGAGTAGGTGTAGTGTCCAATTTATGGCTTCAGTTGACAGTGTATGCAAATTCTGTGTGAGAGCATTATTTGTACAAGATTCATCTGCTCCACCAGTGATTCAAGGGAGCACACCTCATCATTCGCTCCTCTGGTGAACTATTATCCCAGTGTAAATAGAGGAACGATTTCCACAAAGGAACACTTATTAGTTCACTATGATCTCTGTAGAATGGCAAAGGGACATCAAACTGTTAAGCAGCACGTCTTCTTCCTAGGTGGCCTCCAGCAATAGGAATTCTGCTTTTAATACTGCAGGGGGGCTATGAGGAGGGAATCCCTAGCTCTCATTGTAAGTGGCCAAATAAATAAGTTGTATATTTCCAGATTAGGAGTTATCGTTTGGAGAATTTCCATAATACCCTATGGTGTTAAGACTAAGGTCACCCCTGGGGCACAAAGTGTGAAATTCCTTTTTGGAGAACCTAGAAGTGAACTCGTAAGTGATCTTTTGGAACACTTAACCAGTTATGAAATGAATCAAGTTAAATTGCAAAGCATGTCACCTCTTGGCCACAAGACCCAACTCAGAGTGAATCGGTGTAATTATCTGCAAATCTGTTTACTCATTTGTAACTATAATGAAAACATTTGTAATCTGCACCGTAGTAACGTTTGATTTAAATTTAAACAACATGCTGATTACGTGATTTCCTTGTTGATTTGTGTGTAAATTCTACCGGAGACACTATCTACATGGAGTTTGAGGTATGTGTGGTCTCCTCCCAAAGTCCAGAAATATGGTGGGACGTTAACTACCTTCCTCTAAAATACCCTTTCTGTTTGTGTTATTTTTCTCAAGGACATTTAATTGTGAGCTACTTTGAAAAATAAGGACTAAAGTCAATCAATTTACGTTTTCTGTATGTCACTGTGTAATGTGTTTGCACTATTTAAATTCTGGAAATAATTAAAGCAATTAACACCTCAGTCTTTTAGACTTTGTCATAGACATGTCCACATGCTTTTAAGTTATGGAAACCTAATATGTGAAAAGAATGGCCTGCCTGCTAGTATGCCATATCAGCCATAGGTGAGGGACGCTTAAAAGATGTTTGCAAATAGAGATTTGAAAGTTCAGGTTACCTAAAGCCAGATTTCAGTTTTGAGTGAAAGCATTGGTCTTGGCATAATAGTCAGATTTAATAGTCAAGTGATTACTGAAACTGAATTTCTAATCCTTCTCTACTGTTGCCATTAAGACACTGTTTACTCTCACTATATGGCTTTTTATTAGTTTATTATTTACATTAAATTATAAATTTAAAATTATTTTATTTAAAGTGACACTAAACTCAGGAGTTAAATCTTAAAAATACATTCCTTCTGGAGGGTGGCTACTTTTGTTCCCCATGGTCCCTGTGCGTGTTGTAAAGTAGCCACCGCACAAAACTCACTCCCATGATGGACTACAATCAGTGGCATCACAAGGGGGGTGCGGTCCGCACCCAGGTGACACCATTGGAGGGGTGACACCAAAATGCCTCAGTCATTTTGGTGTCACCCCCCCCCTCTGAAAAGTCGGGCGCTCGGTCATGGACCGAACGCCCGACAGTATCAGGAGAGAGGAGGGGACCCGGCGGCATACCTTATCCTGCCGGGTGACTGTCCCCTACTCTCTCTGCCGGCGTCCATCACCAAGATGGCCGCCGGCAGGTATCAGAATACTGCCGTGCGATGACGTCATCGCGCATGCGCGTGGTGACGTCATGCGCATGTGCAGTGATGTCTCGGCGGGTTGACACTCGGTTACCGCTCCGGGTGTCACCCAGCCTCGGGACGCCCCTGACTACAATCTCACGTTTAGTATACTAATTTGTATTAAAGTTAAGGTCTATCAGAGGAGTGAGCTTGGAGTGGTGGATACTTTACAACACACACTGGGACCATGGAGAACATAGCACACACCCTCCAGAAGGAGGCACCAATTCAGAGATGATTTGAGGATCTACAGCTGAGTGATACACAAATAAGCTAAATTTCTGTAAATAGTAAAGGTACTTGAATGTATTTTCAAGATTTTAATCGTGAGCTAGTGTCACTTTAAGGAATGCAGCAAAAAGGGTGAGGCTCCCCATGCTGCAAAAGGCGCAATGTAACTTTATGACAAGAGGACAAAGCTGGTAACTGGGATGGGGAAATAGTAATGCAGAAGTCAACAGAGACTATTGAGATTCGGATTGCTAGTATTCCCAATTAACTGAAATATCAATTTTGTTTGTACAGGTGCTTTTAGTATCATTCAGTCCAGCAGTTCGTATTATAACTGTTCAACATTTCAAAACTATATTACTGATATACTTACTTCAGTGATTATAGTTGAGCTGAACTCCTCCCGATCATACTCCCAACCATTTGTGCAGGGTCTTGTTTCTGCATCTGTACTGTTAAGCCACGTGTCGTTGGAATCCACCTTTCTCCATTGTACGTCAGCAAACTCCAGGCATGATTCAGGCCTCCCCTGCTCATTCAGAGGTATAAAGACCCCCACCCAACCCTCGGTGACAATACTGCTGTTAACAGCCCCCGTGTCATTTATTTTGCACACGTGGCTTGGAATTGCAGCACTGAAGTTTTGGAGCAGGTTATGGCTGGCCATTAACAATATTGGAATGCATAGCAATGTAACGTGTATGATCTGGAACCGTCCCATGCCTCCAGTTTTTTCCAAAAGATCAGCAAATGCCATGGCTGATAACTCAGCTTGACCTCCCTAATCACTTTCACCACCCAAATATGGAAAAAAATAGTCTTTATTTTAACTGTAGATAAAGCTGTTTTTCCTCTTGAGATTGAACTTCAACAATAACTTTTCCACAGCACAGCACAGAGGGCAGAACAATGCTGGAGAAAATTCACTGTTCTATATTCTGTTTTCTGAGGAACTCATGCCAACATTTCCACAGGCATTCTTAAACAGGATTATAATGAAATCCTCTCTTCTCGCTCAGAATTATGTTCTTTATTCTTTCAGTATTGGAAACCCTTATACCAAGTCTTTGATAATCACTGTAGTTTCATAGATAATCTTTGAATTTTCTTTAGATTTTTATCACACTGTAATGGGCGTTCATAATTTTGTTTTCCGCACCAATTTAGGCAAAAGATTGTGTTCAGTGTTTCAGTTAATGTTTTGTCTCAAAAAGTAATTTTCTTTTGTTAACCTTTTCAGCGTCAAGGCGATGCAGTTGTGACTTTCTTCAGTTATAAAATCTTTCTTCTTAAAGAAAAAAAAAAGATTAAGGATTGTGGTCAGTTTCTAGAAAACATCAAAACAAATTAGATGAACTACATTACAAAATAATATTAATCTAACAATGTTTAAAGTGACACTAAACTCAGGAGTTAAATCTTTCTAATGTATTCACGTGCTCTATTAAAGGGGTTCTAAAGCCTCCGTTTGTTCTGCCTATATCTACTGCTAGCTAGCAGTAGATATAGGCAAAAAGTTGGGGAAAAAACCCTGCTTTAACAGCGGTTTAAACTTACCTCGTTATCGCTGCGCACTCCCGCGCCGAGAATCCGGAACTGCTCGTGTGGCCGCAAAGGATCTTGGGGCGGGCGCATGCGCAGTTCAGATTCTCGGCCGGGAGACGAGCAGAGACGCAAGGTAAGTCTATGGACTCGTGCACCCGCATGCAGACACCGCTGGATCGGAAGTGCCTGCAAGCAGAGATGAGTCAGCGCTGGATCGGCGAGTCGCCGCACCACTGGAGGGACAGATGAAAACATCAGGAAAGAAGAAGAAGATGGGATTAAGAGACATCATTTAAGGTAAGTGCTAACATTAGCATGGGGGGAGGGAAAACAATGTCACTTTAACAAAAATGTATCTTATTTGTGTATCACTCAGCTGTAGATCCTCAAATCATCTCTGACTTGGTGCTGAAATTGTCCTTCCTTCTGGATCGTGGCTCCTTTTGTTCCCCATGGTCTCTGTGTGTGTTGTACAGTAGCCACAACTCCAGGCTTGCTCCCATGATGGACTACAAGTTCACATTTACGTTACTCATGTGTATTGAGATTGTAGTCCATCACGGGAACAAGCGAGGTACTCTTTTCTACTGGCGATCTCTTCTCTCTCTCCCCAGGCTATCTCTTCTCCCTGTTTCCTGGCTGTCTCGACTCCCTCTTTCTCCCCTGGCTGTCTCTCCTTGATCTCTCTCCTGGCTGTCTCTCCTCTCTCTCTCCTTTAGCTATCTCTCCTGGCTGTTTCTCCTTGCTCTTACTCCTGGCTGTCTTTCCTTGCTCTCTCTCTTGACTGTCTCGCCTCTCTCTCTCCTGTCTGCCTCTCCTCTCTCTCTCCTGTCTGCCTCTCCTCTCTCTCCCTGGCTGTCTCTTCTCCCTCGCTCTCCTCTGGCTATCTATCCTCACTCTCTCTCCTGGCTCTCTCTACTCACTCTCTCCCCTGGTGGCTCTCTCTACTCACTCTCTCCCCTGGCTGTCTCTACTCACTCTCTCCCCTGGCTGTCTTTCCTTACTCTCTAGGCTGTCTCTCCGTGCACTCTCCCCTAGCTGTCTCTCCTCACTCTTTCTCCAGCTGTTTCTTATCTCTCTCTCTCTCCTGACTGTCTCTCCTCACTCTCCCTCTTGGCTGTCTCTCCTCATGTGGCCCCTATGGAAGAAGAAAACATGCCCATTGGCCCCCAGGTCATTTGAGTTTAAGACCCCTGCATTAGGGATTATATGAGTTACTTGTGTGCATCCAATAGTGTGGTGCAAACGATTTTCGTCAGGGACCACAAAGTAACTGTGTGCTGCTATACTGAATTACTGACAAACCGAGGACCCTAAAAACACATTCTGAATCTGACCGACTGCTTCGGTGTATCTTAGCTGAACCAAGATGAGTTTACACATGACATACTCTACACACCAGTAATAAATCAGGAAACTTTACTATATATACACAATACATCCCCGTGCCTTACAATTAGACATTGCAGAGTAGGATACTTTAGTCTGCCTTCTGCAAGTACTCACCTTTGCTTACACCCTGAATGCTACTAACATGCGTGAGTGGTCTGTGACAACCACATTAGACAATTAAAGAAAATATAATTCCATTAAACATCAATATATTGCAAATTACTCATATATGCCCTTCCCAGTTTAGACTATACTCATTGAATAGTAACTCTGGAACTTAGACGGTGGATAGCAGTGAAAACCTTACCTTTAGCATATGCAGTTAGCCTAGGGTTCCATCAAGCAGGTCACAATAGAACTTGTGGTTGAAACTATTTAGAAGATACCATATAGCAGTAAAAATTAAGTATCGGCTGAGAGACTTTGGAAGTTCACTTTCTGATGGAAATTGGCAGAATGAATATGTGGCTGCTGTTGTTCAGGGCACAGCTAGTACAGGTATTTGAGCTTGAGGTCCAGGATTATATAGAGTCAGAGTCCGTCAGAGTTAAAGTATCACTGCAATCAGTGGGGGATTAATGAGGGGAAGCAGAAAACATGGGGAATGCAGTGAAACATGGGCAAAGTGCAATGGGTATAGAGGGTGACAAGTAAATATTATAAAACCATGTGAGTTGTATATGATAAGCAGAGTACCTTGAGATACAGAGAATGACATAACTGCACACATTCCTCTTTGTATTATATATGACAGTGACATATAGTTCAACAGCCTGTTTATTCTTTACACCTTACTGTTAATGGAACTCCAGACAAGTAAACCATTTTAGTATTGAAAGATGCCACTTTTCACTAGGTAGATTTTTAACAAAGGAGAAAGCAGTTTGGTAAAGTATTCTCTATTCAATTTATAATTAGGACAAGAACATGAATTATGAAATGATGTAAGAGGATTAGAAATCTGTGCTTTAAATGCCTTTCCATTTTGAATTTAAAAAATGCAAAGATAGTGCCAGCCTCTGACCATGGTCCAACAATGCATGTGTATTTATTTTTATTCAAACAGATCCAACCATTGTGGTAAGTAATTAATATAGATGCACAGGAAAGGCTGGTGCTGTAGAATGAAGAATGAAAAGCATTTTATTCATAGGTTAACAAGATTTTAAACATCAAACAAAAAGTGTCCCCGCAAACAAACCTTCTGTGTATTAGCAAAAAAGGGCCCTTTAAAAATAAGCAAACATATTTCACATTTCTATGCAGAAATCATTATGAACTCTTTATCAGTCCCAAACCTCAAAGGAGCTTATAATCTAAGCTGTACTCTGACTTTACCAATGTCATACACATGAAAGCCAGTTTTTAGGCAGAACCAGACTTTGGATTGGAGAGGAAAACATATGGGAGAAGCTCACAGAAACAATGCGTAAAATCAAACAAACTTATTCTGAATTTGGAGCTGAACCAATGACCACAGAGCTACCAGATACCAAAATATATGCAAACACACACATTGGTATAGTAGACCCAGCACCAGATACATTTTTTTCATGTTTGCTACTGTGTAAGTGTAACACTTAGATAGTGTTCTGGCTGAGATTCAAACCGAGGTCCCCAATGCTGCAAGGCAGAAACGCTAACCACTAAGAGCCTGTGCTGCCCATCTTTTCACAGAGATCATAGCACTCGCCTAGCAATGCCTTCATGTGCCTTTCCTTCCAGAAGCATGACACCACCACCATCATTCAGTCCGAGCCTGAGCTCATCCCTAATGCTAAGTAATGGGTAGGTGTAGCACATTGAGGTATTTATTACCTCTTATTACCTCTCAAGTGTTCTCTCTCTGACAATGCCTTTATCTGCTTTTCTCTCCACAAACATTGTGCCATCCTTGTTCTGGCATCATCCAGGGTTAGCATCTACTTCTTAGCCTGAGATCCTGGCTCAGAGATGACACACTTATGTTACTACTGATCCTTGTGCTGTTCATGTCTAAAATGTCTGACAAGATCAGGCTCCTCCTTCAGTTTCTCACAGAGTGACTCGTTATAAAGTTACAATGTTGTGGATTGATAAGTGGGAGAGAGGAGACTGAGAAAATGCTTCCTGCAGAAGACTAATGACATCATATTAGCTTAGGCAAAATCAATTGGTTAACATTGAAGAACTGTTTGCAAATAATAAAAGGTACAATTTAAAAAAATATATACTGTTCCTGACATGTAGGGAAGTTATTGAAGGTGGTTTGCTACTTTGATGAGTAGCGAACCACCTTCAACATTATAAAACACCTTCCGCTATGCCAGCCGACTGCATTTATCCAGTAATTCAAACCTTCTCCAAAATAGTGTTCGTTGTCTGCTCCTTATTCTCTCTTACTGAAAAAGCCTAATCATAGCTAAACTGATGGCTTTCCAGGAAACGTGTTCAATTTACAAAGATACCTTTGCACCTTTATAAATTGGCCAATAATGCAAAAGAACCCGAAGTCATGAAAGAAAAGATTGAAGCTAAAGGTATAAAGATAAGCCTCCTTTAAACTGCAGCAAATTGTGAAAGTTTATGTATTAAGCCTGCAAATTTCTCCTTTATACCGCCTAACACAAAACCCTATAGGCACACACATTCCCAAGTACCTCTAACACAATAATAAAGTTCAGACCAGGTCAGACAGGACATAAAAGTTTATTAAAGTTCAACAAACAGATCTATTATTTGTCCTCCTTGTATGTGTAATTCCTGCAAGCACCAGTCTTGCACATCAGCCATGATTAAGCACTTTTCATTGTGGAACATAATGGTACACAGATATTTTTACAACCGGTTAATATTGAAAATTACATTTTGAATGCATAAAGGGAGCACTGCCTATCTACTCAGTGTTTCAGTTTTTAATCTATACATTGCTGTACAGCATTGGTGAATCCCACTCCCTTTTGTTGGCAGTATGGGAATCAAAGAACTCTTGGTAGTGAGACAAAATCCCAAAACACTCACTGTAGGTTTCTTAACCACTTCAACTCTCACATCTGTATAGACCCTATGGACATGAACAATTTTTACAGTTTATTTGGTGACAACTTTGTCATAATTGTAAATAACAAAGTAATATATTTTTGTCAAAGTAATCTTTCTTTTAGCAATATTGTCTTGCAATTTTTTTTCTTTAATTAAATATAAAGACAAAAAGACTGAAAAAAGTACCAAACAAAACAAATGAAACAAAAAGTTTAAATATTATTGGTAAGGAAATGGAAGCAAAAAATAATACCTAAAAGGAGAAGGGGAGGGAGGAGTTAATTAGAGCTGATTATGGATAACTATAGGTTAAAAGGGAATACTATTTATTTAAAAACAAAATATATCTCCTACCTCATAAGGTCCTAATGGGTTAATGTCTCTTACATACATACAACCTGAAATAAAAATCTCAGCATGATGCAATTTGTTTTATCAGCCACCAATCAGATTTAATGGGAGCAGAGAACTGGAAACCGGATGTGCGTAAAGGGCACATCAGCATCTGGCCTTTCAGGTACCAAGCGGTCACCAGTAACGTGTTTTAGGGATGATAATTTGTTCTTGACAACCTGTGGATGTATACCCAAGAGGGGCATAGCCTGCTGGCATGTCCTTAATGTACATCTGGTTTCTACGCTGCTCCGGCAATCTCTGTCCCCAGTGGCTGCTTGATCCCCTGCTCATGGCCAGTGCAGAAGGTAGAGGCAGGGAGGCATGTTTGTTCTCTCTCTGGTGCATGCTTTGTTGGCTCTACTGTCCCCAAGGCATTATATTTGAAAGGGCAATTGGCAATATTATTTTTTCACTAAAGGTGTACTTTGTCTGCCACACTATGGAGTTTTCTTGCATTGCCTCTGTTTTCAGTTCCCATTTGTTTGGCTGCATTATCTTCTCTTTTAGTTAAAGTTGATTACTGTCTACTAAAATAGGACTATCTTTGTCTTATACCATAATAATTTTTGTTATGTACTTTTTATGTTATTTTTATATATGCACATTTAAAAGATTGCCTTAACTTTATTATTTATTTATTACTTTATCCTCCTACTTAAACACTAAGAAAAATAGTTTGTTTTTTACAATTCAGATGTAAGTATTGCTTTGAAGTTTGAATGTTGTTGGGTAAACAGGAGTTAGAAAGAGAGTTATCTACACATCCAATGGCCCTGTCTCAGGGAACCCAGAAACTTAAAGTGCAGGTTAAAAATATTAGGAGTTTATTAAAAATAACAATAAACAAAATTACAAAAATAGTAGAGAAAGTCCAGGATGTTGTCGCTGCCAAGCCAAAGGTCAGCTGCCTAAGTGGGCAGTTAGCCGAACCAAGTCAGGGAACGCTGAGAGCAGGCTGAATAGAAACAATAGCCGGAGTCAGGAACCATGAGATCAGTCAGCCAGAGCCATACACGGAGAACAGGAACAACAGCAGAGCACTTGGTCTATCTGAACACATGTCAGACACACTGCAACAGAAGACAGGCTGCAGCGCAACAGGACAAGGAACGGTTAGAAACCCTGACACCCTGTGAGGTACATTCTGATTTCCGGTTTAGGTAAATTACAAGACCTCAAATTAGGTTAAATAGGTGACCTTTCTGATGTAAGTACATATGCAATGTTTGATTATTAGTATTAGTAACTCATTAGTAGCTATATTCATAATATAGAATATATACATTTCATAGGAAAACAAATTACTTGCCTATTGTCAACTTTAGCTGCTCTAGTTCTGCATTACCAATAAATATATTGCACAGTAATTTTAAAAACATCACCTTTGTTATCATTGTTTATGTCAAGATGTTTGCCGTTTTCTTTTGATCTGGAAAATTTAAACTGTTATCTTCCACATGCACCTGATATCTGGACACATTTCTTCTATAAAAGGACACAATTAAAGTACATTTGGGGCATATGCCAGTGAAAAGAATACAGCTGACAGGAGGGACTATGATAACCGAGGATATGAATCAGTGGCAGAGAAAGGTGATAATGTGAGGGGATGGCAATTACAATGTTCTCCCTCTGCTTCCTGTGGCTATTCTGGTTTCCTCCCACACTCCAAAGACATGTTGGTATGTTCATTAGCTTCTGACTACATCAGAGATAGGGACCTTAGACTGCAAGATCCTTCAAGGCAGAGACTGATGTGAATGAATAGTATGTAAAGCACTACATAAAGTGATGTCATTATAAAAATACATAATATATTACAACATAAAATTTAAGAAAATTAGTAGGTGCCACGGAGGACATGTTTTCATCTGAACTTTGAATGTTAGTTAAGAGGACCTTTAAATTATTTGGAGTTGCAAATTTTACAGAAAGGAACAACACAGGAGAAATCCTGGATGAGAGTGGTAATGTGGTGTGTTTAGAGTTAGGTCACTAGTAAATGGAAGAC